CTGGGTGATGTCTATGTCATCCAGCTTCTTGTTGTCCGCCAATAAGCAGGAGTCGATAAAAGAAATTTTGGCAAACATCTTCTTCTCCAGCTCCGCCCGCTGATCCGCATCAGCACAACTTAGGTCATGCACCAGCAAAAGTATAACTCTGCGAGGGAGCACGTTAATCCGAGCGAGCACGTTTAGCTCTAGCCGGGCTGCTTGGAGAGCTCTGAAAGTCGCTCCCGAAGCCAGTTTGCCATTGCCATCGCCACGGCTCGTCCTGGGCGGCGGGTGTTCATGCTTGCTCGTGCTTGCCTGCTCCCTGGTGCTCGGTTGCGGGCGGGTGCGGTCACCGTGCGACACGTTGCGGGCACAAAAAGTTGAGGGAGCACGTATTCGGTTAGAGATCTGATTTTGTAGCAAGCACGCATGATGCCTCGAGGAATGTGCCTTTAGGGGCCTGTGCCCGGATCTAATACAAATGCCTGCTCTCTCAACTTTGCGGCCTGGCACCGCGTCCGCAGGTGCCCGGGCGTGCGAGCTGAGGTGGCACACCGGCCAGTTTGCGAGAACGTACGTGTGGTGGGAGCACGTATGTGTTGAGGGAGCACGTTATCGCGAGCGAGCACGCATTCATGGGCCGGGGGAGCGGAATTCAACGATCCTATTCTAAAATGATCAAAAAACACCCAGGACCTGCCCTTCCCCTTTAAATCTCTCTTCGACACCACTCGGCCGATTTGGGGGTGCTGTGGCCTCGCCAGCCCCGAAAACCCAAAACACACCTTTCCCTCCTACTTTGCCGAAAGGCACAACCTGCCCCCTTCCCCATTCTTTCTGCAGCCCAGGATCTCTGATGGATCGGCTGCGAACCACCAGGACCAGGAGCACGAAAGCGAGGTGGCTGGGTCGTGACACAATTATCTGTTTTGTCAAAATTAGCTATCCGTGACTAGAGGCGACTTGGTCCGGGTTCGGCCTTTGGGCCGGGTTTTGCGTAGTGTTTGTGCTGGCTTGGGAATTCGAGAACCGACGATAAGTCGACTTAGTGCCAGGTCGGCGTATTTGTTAAAGCTCAGGGTTTACGGGTTCGGGGTTCACGGTTCGGTAAGTGGAACAGGATGGAGGGGACAAAGGCTGTCGGGTTTCATCACACGGGTAGTTCACTAACTTAGGGTTGGGGTGTGGGGTTTAGTCTTAGTTTAGCTAACTTAGACAAATTAGATTTTGTAGTCAGGCACCCGATGAAGCTTTTTTTTTTATTGGGCTTGGTGCTACAGACTAGTTAAAGTTCAGCAGAGCTTGGTTTGGGCTACCGACAGAATGTGTCAAATGTCTATTGCTCATTCATATCATGGACCAGCAGCCATTCAAAGCCTGCAGCAATGCACACAAGGTCAAGAGCTTCCGATATCAGTGCCGCACACGAACCTATGCACATGGTGGTTGCAGGGCACCAACACAGGCATGCGAACCGAAGCTGGCAGCTAGGTCTGTTTTGAGCGGCCGGGCCCATTGCAGCCTTCGATCCACATGGGCACGGGGTCAAAAGCACCAGGCAGACAGAGCCTCCCACCTTTACAGGCACAGTAGAACTGCGAGGGTTCTTGTTAGATAGTGCAAGCAGTGAGCCTACATAACTGAGTTTTTTCATAGTCCTAGCAAGCGAGGACTTACGGAGGGAGGCATAATCAACCTGCATTCCACACTTCTTCAAATTTCGTGAACCATCCCCGGTTCAGGTTGCAGCTCGAACCCCAAGCTTCACTCACTCATAAGTGATCGTTCATCAGTCCCCCTGCCGGTCCCGGAAGGCGGAGCAGCTGCAGCTGGCCGGCGTGCGGGAGTGGAGAAAGCCTCGTGGATGCGACAGGACCAAGCCTATCATAATCATTATTTTATGTTGATGCAACATTTGATATAGTGTGCCCTAGATGCAGACTCGTGGCGGCTCCACTCACAATTCTCTTCGACCATGTATCCAGCTCGGCTTTGGCTTTCAGGGTCATCTTGTTGTAGAAGGACTTGCCCGGGTTGAGGTTGTTGGATAAGGGGCCTATACAGGCAGCAATATTACGAAACACATGCAACTCCAATCGAATCCCAAGAGCAAAGACTCAGCCTTCAAGTTGCATAGCCGCCTGCACATCGTCAAGGCATAGCAGATCTTCCTGGCCCAGCATCCTGACCCAGTTCGCGTAGTCGGACCTCTGCTGTGCAATGACCGATATAGTCGATAAGGGTTTAGGGTTTAGGGTTTAGGGTGCAGAAATATGAATCAAATCAAAACCCCGGACCCCTGGCGGAACAACTAGTCTAATCTAACTAGGTGCGGCAGAATGGCTCAGAGAGGTTCGCGGGGAAAGTGGCGACGAGATTGTTGTCCATGCTCTGAAGCAGTCCCTGGACCTTTTCGGAAAGGCCCGCCACATTCTTCTTAGCATCCTCCAAAATGAGCGTCTTTTTCCGGTCCATAGCGAACTCATTCTGGAAGATGTCCTCGTCCGAGCCCTCGTCGTCGCGGGAGCCAGCTTCACCCTCCCCCTCACTCAAGTCGGCACTGCTTGCATCCGAGGGCGGGCTGGGGACATCCTCCGGCCCCTTGAAGCCGTCACCATCATCCGGGTCCTCCGTGGCCTTCTCCTTCGGAGCCTTCGCCGGCATCTCCTCATCATTGCCACCATGATCATCATCTTCATCATCCTTTTTCTTCTTCTCCACGTGCTTGCCCTTGGGGGGTGGAAGCCTTCGCCTCTTGTTGCTTGGCATGGAGGAGCTCGTCAGGGCTTTCGTTGCGTTCTCCTTCTCCTTCTCTTTCCGAGCATCTTTCTTCTTCTCATCCTTTGTTGCTAGCTGCTGCTTCAGGTCTTGCATAGCAGCCTCCCAAATGCGGTGCTCAGGCAATGTGTAACCCAAGGCAAACAAGCAAGGCTACGGTGGTACTTCGGTGCAATCCATGAAACACTGCTTTGAAAGTTAATCTAAAGCCTAGGCGTGGTTCGAAACATCGCCTCGTGGTGCTTGTTCAAGAGAGCACAGATCTTGTTCTGCAGGGTGTCCTTTCCGTTCCTCCTGACAGGTTTCTGAGGATGTTGGTGAGGTGTTGGGGTTTGACGGTATTCAATAGTTAATGAGGAATTAGGGTCCTTCTCTAGGGCATAATTTAGGGTTAGTCTAGTAGTAGTCAGGATTTGGCTTATGATTCATGATGTTTTGTCAAGTATGATTACATAGTTAATATTTACATAGTATATTTGGTCATGACTTGTAAGTATCTATAATCTAATAAGAATATATTCAAAACCCAGCTCCTCGCATGCTTGCGATACAGCAGCCGAACTGCTGCCGAGCAATCGCACAAGGTCTTGGCATTGCCCACAGCAATTGCACTCGGCGTTCGCCCCGTGACTTAGCTCAAGCTGAATTGAAATGGTTTAGGGTTTAGGGTTTAGGGTTTAGGGTATTAATTAATTAGGGAAACTCATGTCTGGGTCAGACACCTCTTGGACTAAATAGCGGGGTCTTGGCAGGTTCGGTTGAAGCAGGGGTTTACTGTACTAGGGTAGCGACTATCTATCTAGTCTATGGAGTCTGTGCCTGGCGAGTTGGCTACTGAACCTATACTCAGTGTGAGCAACAGAACTAAAATTTTAAAAAGTATTTCCTATTTCGCGGCCGAAGAACTGCTGTGATTCTGCTAGTCCCGGCTTGTGTCTGACTGAACACACAGCAAACCAAGCCAGCCTTCCATATCCGAAAGAGCTCGGCCAGCACCCCAAACACACCCGAGAACCCCGAACCTAAGCCCAAAATATGCTAAGCCCTGACCGAAATTTAGTCCACCGGACAGGACGAATGGCAAATCCGAATCCTGGAAATCCTGGCAAGCAAGTGGCGAGCATGCATCACCTCGTTCATCCTTTTGCACCAAATCGTCGAGGCGGTGCGACCCTGGCCATGATGCATCTCTTTATTTATGGGTCCTGGGGTCAGGGGTGTACTCGAAGGGAGTACTAGTACAGGATTGCAGTATATATGGGATTGTAGTTCGGGGTGCGGCCGGGCTCGGGACATTATTAGCGGGAGTATGGTTGTCTCGCACCTGAGACCTTGCTTTACTAATTTGCTCTGCAGGACCTAGGATGCTATTTATGAGTTTGGGTTCGAGGTCGTAATTATCACTATGAGTTTCGACCAAAGGCCTAGGACCAGGACAGCTAGGAACGAAGGCTGTTGGGAAAATAGGTCTCGGTACGGTAAGGAGGATCAGTGCCTTGGATTCGGCGGCTGTAGTACAGCACAGTTTGCGTGTCATGCATATGTCACATGCACAAGCACAGACATCTGACAGAGCTACGGCACTTCTCAAATCGTCTAATCGCCGAAGCTTTGACACCCTAAGCCACGAAGTCCAATAATGCCCGCGTGAACCCGGAAACTGGATCCAGAATATCATAACCCCAGTCTCAGGTTACTCCTCTCGAACTGGCAAAAGCGTGCACTCGACATTGCTGTGTGCCTCGAAAGCAAACTTCTCCTTGTCATCCTTCTGGCGTTGCTTGGCTGCTTTCTTCTCCCGCGAGAGCAAAAGGGTTTCCTGCGTAGACGGCACGAGAGAGGCTTGACTAAAGTCAGTGTTTTCGTAAGATGTAGATATTTATATGTACAAACAAGGGTTTAGGGTTTAGGGCTTGGGGTTTAGTGTGTGTGTGTGTGTTTATTAATACAATAATAATAAGACTAGTAGGTAGTACATATTAATGAATTGTATAGTTCATTAGCATATAACTTACACATACGTACTCATGCACTTAAACGATTGATACGGCTTCAATATTTGGTTTTGTGTCTGGCTTTTGACGTACGAACCAGCTGTTATTGCCCAGTCATGATGAGCTTATATTGTTATCCGGGTTTCCCCAATTCCCCAATAACCCAATAACTGGGCATATCGATAAAAGGCAAGGAATCGGGTATGCGAGTTTGAGCTAGAGTCTTTGGTTCTCGAAGATCTATCCCTATCTAAAATCTATCACTACAGTTACAGAGAACAAGACAAGTCTAGAGGTATTATACATATGATAGAGGGAGGGATAGAAATCCGAAATGACATTGCCCAAATTTCTATGGTTGGCTAGAAAGCAAACCCATACGAAGCACAATGTTTGTAAACCTGCAACAAATACAAAGAATTGCAATCCTGATTCATAACCCCGTGACCGATAAAACCCTGCACCCTGCCCGAAACCCAAAACCAAGCTGAGCCGAGGATCCAGCTCACCGCCACACTCATACACATCTGTAGCGGAGACCATCTCTGTCACCTGGGAAAGCACAAACCCCATCATCCTGCTCGGCAAGTCGTCGATCTTAAAGATCTCCTCATTCTTCTGCATGTCTTTCTTTGTCAAGCCAAACAAAGCGGCAGAGTCATCGACATCCTCGGACTCTAAGGAGCTCGACTCATCCTTCTCCGAGGACGACGAGGAAGAGCTGCCTGGGATGATGCACTCCGGTTTGCAAGTGGCACTGGCACGAGTCACTTTCTCACACTGAAGACTGATTGCAGATACAAGTTACCCTTCTTTTTCTTCTTCTTGCTGTCCTTCTTTTTCTTATTGTCCTTGCTGTCCTTTTTTTTCTTCTTGTCTTTGCTGTCCTTGGCGTTCTTCTCCTCGGTGGCTTTTCCTGAACTCAGTCTCGTTCTTAGCTACGGTCACATTGAAAACGTGCGATTGTTGATGCGTGGGGCCACCAGTGGCTATCTGACACACCATAACTTGGTCCCAAGCTACCAGCAAAGGCTTCGTCGAGCGATCTCACCGCCGTTCGCATCATGAAGGATTTCGCTGGATCGCTTTCGTCCTCTTTCGGCGGCTCGGCTTTCAAACTTCGCGTAGAGGTGGTCCTGCCAGAGCCAATAAGCTTACGACCCCAGAAACCCTAAGCAACTACGGACCCGTAGTAAGAGTAGAGCACTGCAGCCAAAGGGGGTCCTTGTCAAAGATTTCTGAACCATCTTCGCCATAAGCCCAGGGGCAAAGCAAGACAATCGCGATCGTCGACACACTTCAAAAGAGACCCCCAAATGAATAGGAGCGGGAACTTCCACAGCCACTAGTTGATAAATAAGGAAGGTTGAGCCCAAATTCCAAGAGCCTAAATTGACCTCCCCAAATCCTTTTATATAGTCTAAGAACAGTTGACACAAGCAGTCACCGCATCCCCTTCTAAGTCGAGCAGCACGAAACAGGAGGCGAAGCTGTAGCTCGTTCAATGCAACAACTCTCATGCCATGGATTACACAGTCATGTTAGCGATGTACGAAAGTGCCGCAATTTTGAGTCACTTGCGGTCCCCTGCTGTCAAGGATCTACAGCAGCTTGGCTTGGCGGCTGGTCGTGGCACTGGCTTTCACTGCTGACCGGGGCACATGATCTGACATGTTTCAAAAACCCCTGCCTAGGACTAATATTAGTCTTGGCAAGGACTACTAATCAGCCAGCACCGACCCGGCCTTGCAAGCTGCTCGACTGTCTGTGGTTTAGCCACACAGACTAACACTAGCATAAAAATCTAAGACACTGAACTAGGACTATTTCACAGACCAGTTGTATTACATGTAAATTTTAAATCAGCCGTTACACACAGTCTGTAGTAGAGAACCACAACTCGCAACGATGAACTATTTAGTCTATGTACGGAGACCCACAGTCTTAAATTACTGTATATCCCTAACCTGCAGAAACCCAAGGCCAGGAGTCCTTCAAGCACACCGGTTGCACCACGGAGTATCTGTTTCATCCAAGCAGCCATTGATAATAAAGCAGCTTCATATGTTTTATAGTCGTCATATCGCACAGATCATCGGTGTTGAAGTCGCCGTGGCCAGGCATATCGGCATATCATCATTGAATTTGCACCTGAGATGCAAAATGGTGAATGAACTAGGCTGGGGGACCTCAAGAAGTGGCCGTCATGTCATCGTGCGAGAGCACGAACAGAGGCTTCATGCAGCGAGCAAAAGAAGCATCAGAGCTGTCGGGTTCGGAAGCGTCCAAGGCACATCCATTGTGAATTTCCAACCAACCACAGAGCCGAAGCCAGGGCTCCTCAATTGAGTGATTGCTTGAAAGGCGAGAGCAGTCTTATAAATTATGCTGGCTTCTAGTCGTCTCGTACAACCAGCGGTTGCAGTGTCTACACCAAGCCCAACTCAAGCTACGGGTAGATCCTACAAAGCAGACGATGCTCTCGAGCATTCTAGTGTAGCAACAGACATGAGTTAAATCCCGGGCACAAAGCAGCGAGCGGCCGGTGGCGAAACCACCGTAGCAAAAGCAGCCGCCTTGGTTTGTCAGCTTCTACCAATGGCGCGAATCAGCGAAATATCGTCAGAATAACAAAATCCTGCATGGAATTGGAATGGAGCGATCGCACTCTGAACCGCGAAACACGACAGCAGCCAATGACACGAACCCCTTGTGCAGCCAAGAACGAAAGTGAATCGACCTCTAGCGTGCCAAGATACGGGAAGCTCGCGTCAGCTGGCTCCGAGGTCTTCCCAGTCCTGCAGAGGACACAGGTTCATGCCCAGAAAATTGTCCCAATTTTATCTCCATCCCAAAATTGGGCCACGAACCCCACAGCCCCAGAAGACACACCCATAACCCCCGGAAGAAATAGCAACGAACCCGCTCCTCGCCGCCACCTACTGCAGTAGCCGCAGGAGCTGCTGGAGCTGCCGTCACAGCCTCAGGTATCCAAGTCCAAGAATCCCCAGCGAGCTGAAAACACTTCGCCGAATCTAAAGCCCAGCAGCCGCCCATCCAAGAAACCAACAACAAAAACAACTCGCTCTGTTCTGCTGAAACCGGAGCAGGAACCGGAGGAGCGGTCGCGGGCAGTGGGCGAGTGACATAGTACTGCTCGACCTTCAAGGATAGGAAGGGGCTCTTCCATGCAATGGATGGCGAAACATCATGGATCCTCAAGCATGAGAAAGAACCTCGCCTCAAACGTCAAACTTGCATTCCCATGAAGCACCACATCGCCGTCGCGGGTCGATCTCATGAAAACATCATCAAGGTCCTCAGGGATAAACGAGGATCGGGCAACACAAACTACTCCGAAACTTGCTGCTTTACAAATCCTTCCGGCCTGCATCAAAAGCTCTTTCGCCAAGCCATTCAAGAATCGGCAAAAGTCCAGCCCGAGCAGCTGCTGCATGGTGCGACGGTGGCGTAAAAGCGTAATGTCTGTCGCCTCATGACTCAAGCCAAAATCTGTGCACCCAGACACACACACACACACATACACAAATCACCTCACGGGGCTGAGTTGCAGCATAGATAAAAGTCGCAGTGCGATCCTCGATGAGCGACTTCCCCTTGAAGCCATCCATGACCTGATTGCCCAAAGATCGGAACCTGAGGCCAATTCGTAATGTCGGCAGCCAAAGGACATGCTCACGAGCAAAAATCAAAAGCAGACTCATCTAGATTTCGATAAAGCAGCATTGTCAACAGCCGGCCAGCCATATGCTTCAACCCTTTCACCAAGAGCCGATCATCTCCCCAAAGCATAGCCACGAACCTAGGCTTGTCAATGGCGAATGATCCCAAACAAAATCTCAGACTTGGCACAAACTTCCGCAAACAGCCAATGCCGATGAGAATCTGCCTTTGGGATCCAAAGGCCGCCATGGGAAAGCAAGTCTTGACAAAACGTGAATGCTCGGCGCATTCCTGGACAAAGATGACAGATCTATTTTATCTTAATTCATCCATACCATAAACTATTCACCCACACTCAATGTACACCCTCGCTCACACCGGTCCTTCAGCAAGGCATTGGCTTCAAGGATGCGGCCCTGCTCCAGCGTCGTTTGGATCACAATCCTGACCTTTATCATCTTGCACAGCATAACCACTTGGCTCAGGAAGGCCTCAGTTCACCACCCTTGTCAAGCACAACTGACAACATAAGACGAAGCAAAAACAGGCAATCCAAGTACAAGCACAAGGCGAGTCACGACCATGAGGCGTATGTCCTCCTCGCTCATTCCACCATAAAACGGCCTCAGTCGTCTCTATTCAAAAGGACATGACAGGACCATACTCAGCATCAATGTCAATTAACTAGACCGAGCTGCATCATATAAACCAGCCCGCCCGGCAGCACTCTGGAGCACATTTGCAAACCTGGGTTATAGTACTGCTGGCTGACAGACACCCATGCCGAAATCAGAGCAATGACAGAGTGCGACCAAAAGGCAAAGATCCTGGCCACGATCCGTCGTGAGCGCCTCGTTGTCCTCCAGGCCATCCACGTAAGCCGTCGCGATGCCTTCCTGAGGGNNGGAGCTCGAATCTTTTCTGTTTCAATGATACCGACCAACACTTGCTGAATCAAACAGAACTGATCAAGTCAAGGCTCCCGCTCTAATGCCGTGGCAAGCAACGAGCGGCCGTGCTCGTAGCAATAAATATATCTTTCCCTCCGAAAAGTCGCTGACTCAAAAGAGTAGTCTTCCAGAAAAACCCAGGGAGCTGTGCCCCTGAGGCGCTTCTCCAGAGAAACTCCCATGGCAGCTGCTTCGGAAGTCATGACTCAAGATTTGACCTGTCACCTTGATCTTATTTCTGAATCACTGAATCATCTGAAAGTCTCCAAGTGCATGCTCCCATGACTCGCAAAAGGCACTTGAGGGAGCACGCATACAGCCTGGAAG